AAGGCACAGCTCATGGTGGTGGAGGCAATGCACAATCATCAGTGGCTCCTTTGTGAACATCTGTCCCAAGAGCAGCTGAGGACAGCAGAAAGCACCAAAACATGACAGCCTTGTAATGGGGCAGATGCACAGCGTAGGGTCCTGTCCCTGGAAGACCTTCTAGGAGTCCAAGGCAGAGACCGGCGTTCTGAATTCTGCACAGCAAAGCTGAGTTCCTGTGAGGGCAAGGGGCTTGCGCATCCAACAAGGATCTCCATACCCACTCTACATCCAGCGCTGGGCTGGGGGATGCCCAAACAATCAGTCAGATGAAGAGCCTGGATCCAAACCCAGGTTTTAGCTAAATCATGAGCCCACAGGAAAATCACATGTACTTCCATGTGCTACTAAGAGAGAAAACCAGAAGTCTGTACACCTCCTGCCTTGTCACAATAAAGCCTTCTGGCAAAGGCTAGAAAGTGAGCCACCTAGCAACCTCTGGGGACAACCCCAACAAAGGGTGAAAGCCCAGGCACACGAGCTCCAGGTCACCTGTGCACCCACGTTTGCTTGCATTCGCCCATGTTCGCCCTTTGAACACATAAACACATATTTGTCTGCGTGCCTAGCACCAAAGCAGGAATCGTGTAACACAGTCCACAGTTCACACACACACTTCTCGTCGTGCTTCTCTTCAAAACCTAGGCTCTTTCAGTTTCTTAACAGAATCAGAATTTGGGAAGAAAGGGACACCAAGAAGAGACTGTCATTTTTATAAAGTATGAAAGGTAGGCTTAATGAAGTAGCAGATTGCTACCTACAATGAACATATTGGACAGACTACTTTGTCTCTACACCATGAAGTTGCAGTTAACAACAAGAAAGATGGTTGCTCAGCCTCACACAGGAGAAGCATTCCTGTGCTTTAATTTGAAAAGTCTCCTTCAGAATGCTTCTTAACCTTCTGGGGCCCATGGCACAGCGGGGAATCTACTGAAACCTGTGACACAGAGGGACATTGTTGTAGAAACTCAGCCCTGTAGCCCTCTGTAATTCCTGAGCTATAGCTAAATAAAATTTTCTTTAAGATATGATCTGTATGGAAAAGCCAAAGGGTTCCAGTTAGCCACACCCATACAGCCCAGATGCAGCAACCTTTGGCAGGAGTAGGCTGCCTTCAGAAAAAGCTGATTTTTAATGTTTGAATCAAAGCATGATGACTCATAGGCATATGTGTACAGATTAAAATATTTATCAACCAATACTCTATATTCAGATGATATCAACAACCAGGATTCCAAACGGTTCCATCACAAAGTCCTGGCACTGAACACGTCCTATACGTACATGATAAGGATCACCAGCCTCTTCTTTTATGAGGAACTTCAGTACCTCGCACCATCTCCTGTTCAGTAAAAGTACATCTTTGCCGTGAAGGTGCAGAAAACAGAAATCTAGGCTTCAGATGTAATTTAAACACCTGAAATTCACCATGATATCCTTTCCCATGTAAGCAAAGATTTTTACATTAATATGGTATCATAACCTGAGTTTATCATAATACAATTTGCGACAGAAAAACATGACTATCAAAAAACTTGCCTGCTGATTGAAGATGGCAATCTTCAACATAGATACTGCTTAATTCAGACTTGGAATTCCACTAGAAAATCAGATCCCTGCTCAGCAGGCGACCTCTGTATGCCCCTGCAGGCCACCATGCTCCTTGTACAGCTGGGCTCCCTCAGCACGAAACCAAAGCTGGATGGTAACACAACCTGCCTCCGGCTACAAATAGCAACAGGCCTGCCAGGAGTACAAGTCCAAATATAGACCTGCCAGCGCTGTCTTGCTACTTCTACCACTCAAGTGTCACCAGGAGAAATCACATGCTGTGCTTTGAGTTTCTTCATTAGTGTGGGGGCTGGAGATCTAGGGCTGGATGGCCGGCTATGTGCAGTGGGGCAGGGCTGTAACTGCAAGCCCAACTCGGGGGTATTCAGGGCAACTTCTCCCCCTCCCATCATTCCTTCAAAGTGTGTTCTAGGTGGCAATTATTCCCTCTGGATCAAACATTAGTAGATCCTACAACTTTCTGCATAGCCTAAGGGTACGTCCCTCTGTTAAAGGGGTAGCAGGATACCCAGAGAGGCCCCTCTAAGTTCTTCTTGTCCTATTCAAAGAAATAGATAAGACATACAAAGAACGTAGAGGTTTTGCACTTAATAAAGAAGGGAGAGAAAAAGGGAGACATACTCTCAAAACAGGGTGTTTTTCAGAGTGTGGGAAAGCCAGTTAAAGTAAGAAAAGAAGTATATGCTATAAAAGGTCGAGGTGCTGACAAGATTCACAGTAGCCACGAGGGTTATAGCTGCTGGCTTTTATAGAAGTCCTCTCCACCACCCCCGGTTCTGACGTCACTCTAGGCCGTCCTATCAAAACCTGGTTTGATCTCGTGCCAGAAGAACGGAAGACAGTGTTCTCTGATTGGTTTGTGTTAGGTGTGGGATTCAGATGGTGTTCTGCGCAAGTATCCCGATTCTCTGTGATTTTTCATTTTTTTGTATTTGGTATAGGGTGTCACTACACAGCTCGGACACTTAGTGATTCTTAAGTTTTCAGCCTCCCCAGTGCTGGGATTCCAGGCCAGACTCGGCGGACCACTCAGCATGCCTGGGGGTGGAGCCGGCGCAGGCATGTGGTGCCAGGGATTGAACCTGCGTCGCTAAACTTGCTTAAGCAGGTGCTTAGTCCGCTGAGCTAACTCGCTGGCCCTTCGATTTTTCTGTGTATGAGGGGTCTTTCTGGTTGACAGGTCTTGCTCAACTGCACTGCTGCTTTGCCACAACCTAATCTCCTGCCTCTCCAAGAAGCCATTGTCTCAGATTCAGTGAACGTATGTCTAGCTCAGTGTATTATATCTAAAAGCCAAATGTGGTTTAGCTAACATTTAAACCTCCCTTCTTTGGCTTGGATCTCTCTACCTGGAAGTCTATCCTGGGGGAAGGAGCACCAGGCAGGGCTCTGCTCTCCACACTCCAGCGGGTCAGGGCAGGAGCTGATGGTGCTATGCTGCTCCTAAGGAGACAATGGTCACAATGGTTGCTGGTTCTCAGGGTCTGAAAGATGCTTAGATCCCTTCTCTTTTTCATGGGGAACTTCTATTCATCTCTAGAGATTCCCATTGTTGAGGTATATGGAAAGAAATTTTAATGAACTGGCTCCATGATCACCGAGGCTGACAAGTCCCACATTCAGCCACCAGCAAGCCAAAGACCCAAAAGATCAGATAGTGTAGTTCTGTAGCTGCAAATAGAAACACTGAAACATCACCCAGGATTTGGAGGCAGATTTATTCAACATTGATGGGCAGTGACAGGGATTCATTTCCAAAATACAAAACATTCTTATAGGGCCTGCAAGCGGAATGTACAGAAATAGAGTACGTGGCTATCTTTGATTGCTTCTTCCAATATGTATCATAGTGACCAGCCATTTCTAGGAGACAGTAGTAACAGAACTGTAACAGGAACTGAAGTAAACTGGAAGTTACCTGGGCAATTAACAGAAACTGAAGTATATTGGTGTGGGGAGTGGGGAGGAGGAGGACGGTGAGGGGGGACGGCTGGGGGGACAGTGGGGGATAATGGGGGGATATTTTCCACTCTAAAGCCTGGCTAGTTCAACATCTAGGAGGAGCCAATGTGTTACTATGAATGAAGGAGGACAAAATCTGGTCTCCCGATTTAGAGGCAGACAGGCTGGCAGGAAGAAGTCTCTCCTAGCCTTTCTGAGCCTTTAGCTGATTGGATGATGCCCAGCCACATGAGACAACAATCTGACTTACTCAGTTTACAGAGTCAAAAAAAAACCCAGAAATAATTCTTTTTTGAGACAGGTCTCACTATATAGCCCCAGCTGGTCTCAGACTCATGGTGATCCTCCTGCCTCAGCCTCCAGAAGGCTGGGATCACAGGTGTGCACCTCCATGCACAGTTTACAGAGTTAAATGTTCATCTCACCCAGAAACCCCTTCACAGACACAGCCAAAATAATGTTGGACCAAATATCTGGGCATCCCCGTGGCCCAGTCAAATTGGATCCATTAAAATAATCATAAATACACATATGCCATAGACAGTTTATGGCACCCCCAATTCATGTTGTGCTTAATCCTCAGTGTGAGGTATTTGGAAGTGCATCCTTTGTGAGAAGTAGGTCATGAAGGGAAAGCCTTCATGAATGGAATGGGTGTCCTTATTGAGACTGTCCAGGGTGCTGTCCTGCCCTGGGAGGAATCAGTAAAAGAAAGCCATCTACAAAGCAGGAAGCAAGCTCTCACTGGATATGGAATGGCTACAGGAACCAGAATGGACTAAAGCAATCTCTCTCTCTCTCTCTCTCTCTCTCTCTCTCTCTCTCTCACACACACACACACATATTTGTGTGCATGAACACAAATGAACACACATACAAAATGGGACCAGCTTGTTGAGTTATTTTACTTCTTTACTCTTTTGATGTCTAATTTGTAATAATCATATATATCTTTCTTTTCAAGTATTTCCTTCTTATTGTAATAGTAATGTATGTTATTTGGCCTAGAAGAAAATAGTACAAAAGAACGATAAGGCAAAGAAACACAAACCAACCATACAACCTGGCACAACTACTATTAAGTTTGATGTGTATTTTTTTTTCTAAGAAGGTACAAATTTATCCCCCTCTCGCAAAACGAAAAAACATTGTTTCATAAATTAAAAGCCCTCACAGTTTCATTTTGCAAAATCAGATTAAGTAGGAAAAGACTACACAGGATAAAACAATATAAAGCAGCGCTGGAGAGACAGCGGCATAAGCGCTTGCCTAGCAAGTGTAAGGTCCCGAATTCAAGCCCAGTACCAAATAAATAAATAAACAAATAATACTAAATGGTGATGAATATGTAAAATAGATATTTAAAACAGATTTACCAAAATTTTATATATATATATATATATATATATATATATATATGGTTAGGGGAAATAGATTACCTCAGCTAAAGAGGGCTGGGACTATAGGAAGCAAAGGCCCAGAGGCTCTGGGTTCCTGAGACAGAGCAGCCTCCTCCTCCAGATAAGAGCAGTCGCCTGCAGGTCACCGGCTCGCCTTAAAGAGACCCTAGCTTATGCAAAGGTGAGGAAGGCGAGGTGTGAGGCGGCTAGACGCCAGAGGAGCTTATTACTAATGATCGAGTTAGGAGTAGATCCCCCACCCCCAATCCCGCTACCCGCGATTGAAGCAAGGGGCGCTGTGCTACGGAGTACACCACCTAAAATTTTCCCAGGCCGGGCTCGAACCTGGAATCTACGTGCGGGAATTTACAGGCTTGCGCCACCCGCCGGCAACGAGACGTTTCATTGGCTGGCGCGGCCCCTCCCCGCGTCTTCAGCCGGTCCGCACGCCCCGCCAATCCCGCGCGGGGAAGGGGGACGTGGGCGCGGCGACCCGAGCAGCGTCCGGGCGGCAATGGAGGACGAGCAGCCCGACAGCCTGGAGGGCTGGGTGCCGCTGCGCGAGGGTCTGTTCGCGACTCCCGAGCGGCGCCGGCTGCGCTTCCTGGTGGCCTGGAACGCGGCGGAGCGCCAGTTCGCTGTGACCTGCCAAGACCGCTCGGCGACGGGCCGGACGCGGGGCTGGGCCGGGCTGCTCTCGGCCGCGGGGCTGCGCGGCG